TTCCGGATTTGAGTAATACTACTTGTGGACATCCGTATACAATGAGGGGGCCGCAGCTCCAGCGCTAGCTCCTGGGGGGTTGTTTTTAGCCCTGAGCGATGTCCTCCGGACTCTGAAGTATGAGCTGCTTCCCGCTATTCTAGGAGCTCCAGGTTAAGGGGTTATTTGAAATAATTTGACCTCCCAAGTGAAATCAAATGATCGGACGGTGAAGTTGGTCGCTTGGTACCTTAACTACTTATACCTACGGATATCGCCTCTCGTTTCTATATTCTATTTCTTTTCTTGTTTCTACCTTCGTTTTCCAGCATTTGCAACTTCAAACACCTCGCCTTTGCGAGGCTGCGGTTTTTAAAGCTGGCAGCGGGTCTGTACAATATTCCAGTTACGGTGGTTAAAGTTTCTTGAGAATATGCTCTTTCGACATGGTCTAGGCTTGCTCGCCCTCGTCACCTCTGACGTGCTGGCTGCGACGTAAGTGTCAAGTGCTCATCGGATGAAGATGTGAAATTGTGGGATACTGACCCTTCTGATAATTTTCCATGGAAGGCATCACAACCACATCCATGCTACCTACGAAAAACGTCAATCGTCCAATACCACAGAGGAATATGAATATGTCATTGTCGGATCTGGCCCCGGCGGGGGCCCTCTCGCATCTAGGCTTGCTCTTGCAGGGCATAAAGTCCTTCTGATCGAAGCTGGCGATGACCAAGGCGATTCCACAGTGTATCAAACCCCAGCTCTTCATCTGCAATCGAGTGAATACCAAGAAATGCGCTGGGACTATTGGGTTAACCATTACTCTGATCTCGAACGCCAAGAGAAAGATTCCAAATTTACTTATGGGAAACCCGATGGCCAATTCCATGTCGGAGCAGCTGCAGATGCAGATGCCAAACCTTTGGGAATTCTATACCCAAGAGCAGGAACGCTCGGAGGCTGCGCCTCCCATAATGCTTTGATTAGTGTTTATCCTCATAGGAGTGATTGGCATAACATCCAAACCATCACTGGTGATGCATCCTGGGCTCCGGATAAAATGCGCAAATTTTTTGAGCGTTTAGAGCGGTCTAGATATTTGCCTAATGGTATTGTCGGTCATGGTTTCGAAGGTTGGTTCGAAACTAGCCTGACAAACTTGGGCATCGTCGTGCAGGACCTCAAACTCGTCTCCCTGGTCGTTGCTATTGGCACTGCCATGGGAAAAGGTGTCGGCAGGCTAATCTCAACTGTAGCTGGCTTAGGAGAGGCTTTGCTTTCTGATCTTAACTCCGATAGTCCGCTTCGTGACTCCACTGAGGCCGTATACCAGGTTCCCATCGCTGTCAATACTCATGGTTATAAACGAAACGGCCCTCGTGAATTCATCCTCCAGACTGCCAATGCGGTCAATGAAGATGGCTCGCGAAAATACCATCTGGATATTGCCCTCAATACACTTGTAACCAATGTCACGATTCGACACATCTGGTCCTGTCCCGAAGGCCATTGGTGTAGATTCGAAT